TACGAGAATAGTTGATATTTATTCCGATAGATGGCGCAAGCCATCAGCAACTTTCAGTTGCTCGATAAGAAGAAGCCTTTTTCTTAACATAGGATTAAGTTTTATTATGATGCATTAGCGCACCAACTGTAATGAAAATTAGAAACTATTATAGACTCTTATGATTCTTTTTTATTTTTTTATATATATATTAAAAAAAAGAATCATACGCGTCTATAATAGTTTTGAATTTTCAGGATTAAGTTTGCTATTCCTGCCCCATGGTCGATAACGTTGAGGCACTTTTGAATTCCAGCAGGGACTGTGGAGGATTATGTGGGAACCTTTGGTGATCAATGCTGAATATTCTCGTTGGTTCTCTCTCTATCTCGATTTCATTTCTTACAGGCCCAGGTAAAATATAAAGGGCGCTTTGACAAAATACCTTAATTTGTGGCCTACATGAAGAAGAACTGGAGTGGATATCATCTCAAGTCCAAACTATTGATTTGTTGGAGAATTTATTAAAAATACTTGAACTTTATCAATTGAGGCAAAATCGAGTGGAAATTATAAAGTGGAAATATCAAGGAGGTAGTGAGAGAAACGTGGAATATAGCCCATGTCGTCAAAATGCGCGGAAGCCATCGCCAAGGGGGTAATGTAAACAAATAGATTTATAAACAATCGAAAAAAAAAATATTTTTTTGGATGGGAGATATGTTTTACATGGATGTGCTAATTACACCTTTTTAAATATAAAAAGTGTTTTTTTTTTTGCATCAAAATTGCTCTTTTAAAAGTATATATATGTAGTATATTTTGAATTGTGTAATAATATAATAGCCCACACATTTATGTAGTATAATGATATTGTTAGTTAGTTAATTTCTTTTAATTAGTTAAGTTAAATGAATTAGTTTAAAATTATACCCCCTATTAGAATGTATAATGCCCCTATCTACTATCACTCTCCCATATTTCATATTATAGGCCATAACTTTATTAATACAATATTTAATATCTTTATTTATGTACTATTTGCTAGGTAATACTTAGGATAGAGGTTCCTCAAATGTAAGATATCATATGTATTCCCATTAACTGCAAAAATGTACTCCCCTCCGGAAGGGGGGGGGGGGGGTTTCCAGCCATAAAAAGACATCGTTCCCGGCCGCTTGGGGCTCAGAGCTTAGACCTATAGCATAGTAGTGCGTTCCTTCTAGCCAGCAAACAGATTTATCTCGCTCCCTACTGCTCTCAGGGGCCTTGGCCCTACCCGCTGCGTGGCTATCCAGTATGCTCCCATGACTCATCTTCGTCCCGTGGGCTTTCTCAGTCCCCCCCTCGGTGCTAACATCTAGTCTTGCCTCCGCTTCTTAATGTCCTCGTGTGGGAAGATCCTCCCCACCCTCGCCCACGACTGTCCAGTTCATTCACACATTGGGGACATATATGAGCTAATATAGTTTTTAGTTGGAGGAATCATTACATCAGAAAGCAGAGAATCTGATGACATTGTTGTCGTGTTTAATTATTGGAAAAGGGGTGACGTTGCCACGTTAGTCACCTTGGACCAGAATATGGTTGAATATTCCAAGGGTTCAAGGGGGACTACAATGAGGAGTGGTCGGACTTCTCCCCCCCCCTTCCCCTCAGAAAGAATCTGATAATAATGATGAAAAATCCACTTTTCGGTGTGGTAAATGATATTCCCAGAATTAATATTTGTTTTTGTGTGGAATCCTTAAAGATAAATTTCTCAAGATGTATAACATAAAATTATTCTGTATACACTAAAAAGGAAAACATAAATATTTCAGTTTCTGTGTGTCATAGAACAATTAGATCTATATGAGTCAAAATAAAAACGGCGGAGGTCGATCATAATTTTTTTGAAGGAAGAAGCAAAAAAATTAGTGACACATGAAAACTTGCTAATCATTTGCCTCACATTATATCACATTATATCAATCACATTATATTATGATGCATTAGCGCGCCATCTGTTATCAAAATTGGCAACTATTATAGACGCGTATGATTCTTTTTAATTTTTTTCCATTGCAGTAAGGGCAGTAGAAATTGTTTTATTTTAAAAAGAACCATACGCGTCTATAATAATTTCGAAATCACATTATAAGTTATAAATTCTTGATGATCGTCCCCGCCGCTTTTTTTATTTTGACTTATATAGATCGAATTGTTCAATGGTGGAAACTAAAATTTTTTTTTTTTTTCCTTTTTTAGTGAATTTTATAATAAAAGCTTTAAAAGACAATTTCTATTATAACCAATTATTTATTTAATTTTGAAAGGTTTTATTTAACTTGCTTCCATGTCTGTCCACAAATCTTGTAATAAGTTTTTAATATACTTCCATATAACAAGTAGAAGTCTGAAATTTTGTACAATTGTTCGAACCTGGTGACACAATGTATGTTTAAGGAAGCCAGAAACGGCGTCTTAAGAATATCTCGGTGGAACCTATTTTCGCGGTCTCGGACCAGCATTCTAGAACCAAGTCTTAAGAATAATAAGAGGAAAGAGAGAGTTTGGCTATATGATAGAACAGACTCGTTACTTCTCTAGAATTTTTATTGCATCTCGAGTCCCTCTAAGAATAACGGTCTCCTATGGCGTGGAAGAATCCGTTCTGATTGGGTCGCAGGCCATTACGTTGGGGCTTCACCAAAATG